GGGGAAAAAGTAAGAATCAAGAGAGTATGTAAAGGTGCATATCTCCAATGATGAATGTCATTATATTGTACACCTAAAATGTACCAATAAAAGGATATACAATTTTTTAAAAAGTATAGATTGGGAAACAAAAAGCTTCTATACATAATATAATACTAAATTTATTGAGGCATCATCAGATTATACAAGCTACCTTTGGCCTCTACAATTACAAGAGCTGCTTAAAGTGATCGCCATTAGCCTTCAGACATTTGTTAGTATGGTAAACTGTTAAAGTGTGTATACATTTTTTGGCAGACTCTAGTTTGTTTGGTTTTTTTTTTTTGGTACCGGGGATGGAACTTGGGTCCTTAGCTTGCAAGGCAGGCAGTGGAACCACTGAGCTAAATCCCGGGCCCTGGCAGACTCTAGTTTACTAATTATTGTAAGAAATTCTTCATTTGATCAATATTTATTGCAGAGTTAGAAAAGTGTTCCTAAAAACATTACCATAAAGGTACAAGTCCATAGCTGGAGGAGACTGACCTTATTTATCACAGGATTTTCACTCTTATTTTATAATTTACATTTATCATAGAAATTTCATAAAGTACTCAAGGTTAAAAAATGCTAAGTAGGGGCCGGGGATTTAGCTCAGTGGTTCCACTGCCTGCCTCGCAAGCAGAAGGACCTGAGTTCGATCCCTGGTACCAAAAAAAAAAAATGCTAAGTAGAAAAAATAAAGCAAGGGAGATTATAGAAATTGCTAAGGTGTGATTGAAATTGTAGACAGTGTGGCTAGGAAGAACCTCAGGATTGCTTCAAGTTCAAGACTAGCCTAGGCTTCATAGTGAGTTCAAGGTCAGCTTGAACTACATAGAGAGACCCTGTCTCAAACAAAACAAAATAAAGTTATCTCAGTATTCAAGTAATTGAAGCTGAAGGTTTCCAAGTTGGAGATCAGTCTGGCTAATGTAGCAAGACCCTATGTCTTTTTTATTATTATTATTATTTATGGTACCAGAGATCGAACTCAGGTCCTTGCACTTGGGAGGCAGGCAGCAGAACCACTGAGCTAAATCCCCAGCCCAAGACACTATGTTTTATAAAAAATATAAGGGAGTTAGCTACAGCTCAATGGTAGAGTACATGCTAGGTTCAATCTCTAGTACTGGAAAATAAATAAATAAATAAATAAGCAAAGCTATGTAAAACTATTCAGGAACTAGATAAGGTTAGGTAGTACTCCATAAGGTAAAACTAGTGTCTTCGGTTGCTATTTTGTTTATCAATGATGAATAGCTCAAGAGGAAGATTCTGGTCATCATGCATGAAATGCAAGCAAAAAGTAAAGCCAATCCCTCCCTTGGTCCTTTTTTTTTTTTTTTTTTTTTTTTTTAACTGGGGATTGAACCCAGGATAACTCTACCACTGAGCTATATCCCCAGACTTTTTCCCTTTTTATTATGAGACAGAGCTTTGTTAAATTGCCCAGGCTGGCCTTGAACATGTGATTCTCTTTCCTTTGCCTTCCAAGTCTCTGGGAATACAGGCATGTTTCACCATGTCCTGTTGCCAATTCACATTTTAATACTCTTACTGAAATGATAAAATCATATTGTGATGTTATAAATTGGATGAAATTGCAAGAATACACAAACAAATGCACACCCAAGCTATTTCTGTTTCACTCTTGGGCCTATATTCTGTATTTAAGGTCAGGAAGAACCTCAGATACAGGTGGCTGAAGGAATCTAGTAGAAGGTAAAGAGAACCAGTGACTCTTTTGAAGTGTATTGTGGTAGTGCTTTTCTTGGATCATAGGCTATGTGGTAGGCAAAAAGACCAGAGAGTAGGGGCTTTCCTAGGGATTCCAAATCTTTTAGAAGGAGGAAAACAGAACAGTAGTAGGTAGAGAGGTTGGGTGTGGGTCACTGAGGCTAGTAACAGGGTAAGTTAACCTGCTAAAAATTGAGACATAAGTTACTCTTTAATATGGAAATTCTTTATTAAAATTTAACCCGAACATCAAAACCACTGTGGGGCTTGAAATTCCCTCTGAAACAGAGAACCTAGCAATAACCAAGCAGAATTATAGCCAAGAGCCTTTTAAACAAAGATGCAAAAGCAATTCCATGGAAGAAAGAGTCCTTTCAATAAATAGTGCTGAAGCAATTGGACAGCCAGGAAGCAAAAACCTGGACTTTGTTCTAACCCTCACACCTTATTAATTAAAAATTTAACTCACAAAAATTAACTCCAAATGACTCATAGACTTATAAAGAAAAGGTAAAGGTTAAAAAAACCCCAAACCTTTAGAGGGCTGGGGATTTAGCTCAGTGGCACCGTACCTGCCTTGAAAGCGAAAGGTCCTGAGCTCAATCCCTGGTACAAAAAAAAAAAAAAAAAAAAGACAAGAAAAGCACAAACCTTAAATGCAAAAAGTGGAAAAACTGGATTTCTTCAAAACTAAAAACATTTGTTCTGTAAAGACCATGTTCAGAAAGACTACAACAAAAAGACAAGCTACAAATCAGAGTAAGTATTTGTGAGTCATATATCCGATAAAAGACCCATATCTGGAAAACATAAAGAACTCTAGAATGTAAAACGAAAAAAGTGCGAATAGAAAATGAGTAGAAGACAGGAGATCTTTATTTTAATAGATTATGCAATTAGAAAATAAGAATATGAAAAGATACTCAACATAATTAGCTGTTAAGGGAATACAAATTAAGACTACGATGAGCTATCATTATACTTATTATTTTAGCTCAGCAAAAATAAAAAATAGTAACAATGTTGGTGGATAGATGGAGAAACTGGATCTTTCATATATAGCTAGTGAGAATGTAAAATGCTATCGTTACCGTGGAAAATAGTCTGGCAAGTTTTTTGTTTATTTTTGTTTTGTTTTGAGCCCAGAGCCTTGCACATGCTAGGTTCTAACTCTGAGCTACACCTACAGGCCAGTTCAACAGTTTCTTAAAAGAAACTAAACATACATGTACCACATGGCTTAGCAATGGTATTTTGGGGCATCTATCTCAGAGAAATGAAAACTTACATTCACATAAAAGCCTCCATAAAATTTCTGATACTGGTAGCAGCTATTTGCAATTATGTTCTGCAGTGGATCAATGATCGAACAAATTGTGATTCATTTGTACCATGGAATACTACTCATCAGTAAAAAAGGAATGAACTACTTATACAAACAAAAACATGGCATTATGCTGAGAGAAAGAAGCCAACCTCAAAAGATAAAAAACTACCTAAGTGTATTTGGTATATGTGCTGCAGAAGCGAGCACATGCCTAAGTGTATTTGGATAACATTCTCACAATGGCAAAATTATAAAAATGGAAACAGTAGCAGTTGCGGGGGGAAGGTGTTAAGAAAGTGGGTATTATTATGAAGCAGCATCAGCAGGGAGATCTTTGCTGTGGAATAGTTCTGTATTTTCCTGGTGCTTGGACAAACATATAAATGATAGAAAGACATTTCATTAAACAAACACTTTATATCAGTGTCCATTTATTGGCTTTGTTACTGTACTAGTGATATAACATGGAATCAATGGAGGGGCTACTTGGTGACAGGTACACAAGACCTGTCTGTATTATCTCTGCAATTTCCTATGAACCTACCATTATTTCAAAATAAAATGTCTGAAAGAAAAGTCTCTCTGAGGCATTGCTCTCTCACCTTCCTTTATCCTGTGTATTTCCTCTTTCTCCAGAAATGAATTTTTCTTTCTTTTCTCCTTTTCCTTATGTGTTGAGAATTCTTTTTAATTGGTCAAGTATAATTCCCTGTACTCTTATTAATCCTATTCTTTCAATCAAGGCTATGTTTTCGTGTGCTTGATTTTAAAAGCAGAAACAGTTTAATTCTTTCAAATATATTTCTTTAAAAAACAAAATCTAAAAACTAATGTGGTTTTTATTTTATGTAATCCAAAGTCTTGGAAGACACACACACACACACACACATATTTATTTTCTTTTTTGGTAGTATTACTGATGGAACCTAGTGGCACTCTACCACTGAGATACAGTCCTAGTCCTTTTTGTATTTTTGAGACAAGGTCTCACAAAGTTGCCCAAATAGGCCTTGAAGTCGCAATCTTTCTGCCTCTGCCTCCTTAGTTGCTGGGGTTACTTGTGAGCACGGCCTCTGGCAATAATTTTGTTTTATATGCACACAGTATTCATATAATATTTGGGGGGCTGGGAGTGTAGCCCAGTAGTAAAGCATATGTAGCATGAACAAGGCCCTGGGGTCAATCCTCAGCACCAAAACAATAAGAGTAATGTTTTCAGTGTCTATAAATTGTAATTATACATTCAAGATTTACTGAGGAAATAGAAGTATCAAGTATTATGTTTCATACACAATGTATACATGTATGAGAACATCACATGTACAATTATGTACATTAAACATTTAAAAGTATTATGTTCCACTGAGTTTCATGTTAGTCCACATGTCAAAAAAATTATTTGCCAGGCTAGATTTTTCATGTGGAAAAATATGATCATTACAACTACAAAACACCAAACAGAACACAGCGCTATCCAGAGGGCTTGCAAACAGACCCTACAGCACTGGGAAAGTACTGCTTTGGTTCTCAAGGACTCAGAGAGCCCTCTGGTTCTCCCAATGGGTTTAGCCGCAGATAAGTCTGAGTTCTTTGAAAAATTATGAGTTGCAGATGTTCAAATTTTCAAGTACTTTCTTTTGGTTTTTTCATTATCATTGTGAGTAATCAATCCAGTCCTACCAACCAACAAGGAATATTCTTTATTGGTGTACTATTTACACTTAGTGCACTTTTGCATTTCTTTCGTCACTCTTTTGTAAACTCAAATTTTAAAAGGAAAACAAATACCACCCATTATGTTGCGTTTGTACCGGTTTGGGAACGAAGGAAGTTAGTCCCTTGTGGGGATCCGTCCTACCAGGCAGTTTGTCTGCAGCAACATGGCGGCGGTCTCAATGTCAGTGGCGCTGAGGCAAGCGTTGTTGGGGAGAAGGGCAGTGGCTACAGCTGCCATTTCCATTTCCAGGGTTCCTACCAGGTAACAGAATTGTCAGCCTTCTTCTCCAGGGTCCTCAAGTCCTTCCACTTTTGCGAGGTCCCTGCTGGCCGAGTACCGGAGGAAGGTTGGGGGAAGGCTCCACTGTTGACCCTTTCCTCGGGAAGGGCCGGCGGATTTGGGACTAGCTGTGTTCAGGGCGCCCGCCTGGCGGGTAGGCGCTTGAATGTAAGGTGGTGGGACCTCACATTTCTTGGAAACTTTTGGTCTGTTCGGAGAGAGAGGTTCTTTGGGGGAAGGGGTTGTCTTACAGCTGTGAGACGAACCTTAGCGCCCAGTGAAAGGGAAGAGTCTCGATAATTTCTCGCCCCACTTTTCACATCCCTTCCAGTTATCACCTGTTTGGGCACCACTTCAGTCCTTGCTGGAAGGTCAAATCCCCGGATCTCCTCCATGGCTTAAGTGGTATTCATTGGGTTTTTGTTCAGAAAGGTTGTTTAATTCATCGGACTGCATGGGATGAAAACTTTTTAGGAATACAGTGTTAGTAAAATATTATTCCTACTAATATTGAAATTGTAATTTTTTTTCCTGTCTGGGGATGGAATCTAGGACCTCCCATGCTTAAGCATGAGCTCTACCTCTGAACTACAATCCCAACCCAGGAGATAATTTTTAAAAGGCTGGTATTAATATCGAGAGATTTCCCAGCCATCCACAATTTTACTTAAGCGACACAGTAATTCAGAGATTGTCATTGTATTGCCTTGAAGCACTTTTGTGATGGTGATTTTTTAATGCATTGCCTAACCCTTCATTTCCATATTTCTCCGAATTTTCCTGAATTTATTGTAGTACTAATACCCTATACACTTAGCGTTTTTATTTGCGAAGTAGTATGTTTCATCGCTCTTTTCACAGCCCATTAATATAAAACAGAGGCTTATATTTAGGGTCTACTTCATGCTCTGGAGACCACTAAATGATTAGTATAATGATGGAAAGATGGGATGAAGTGTGGGATGGAGAGTTGAGAAACATGGGAGGAATGTGAGTGGTGAAAAATTTAAAAGAATTTATTCGAATGCTTATTTTGTGTTACACTAAATTAATATAAAAGGAATACAGAATTAAAACGAGTTATTAGACCTTTTGGAGGTAAATTTTATTAAGGTTTTAAATAGGTGTTATTTTAGAAAGAAGAAGGTGTCTTAGGGTCTGGTTTATGAAAGATTTGAAGGTGATAGAAGGATAGTACTTGTATATGTGTACTACATCGTGTAGAGTCAGTGAAAAATAGAGTCTCAGATTGGGGGAAAGGTAAAGAATGTATTTTAAATGTTCCACATACAGGGAATTTAAGGAATAGAAAGTAGCTCTCTCAGGTAAACTACTGCACTGGTTAAGGCTTATTATAATTTAGTAACAGTTATAGCAGTAAACCATTTCTTTTCCTTTAGACATAGGGCAGTGGGGGTGGGGTGGGGAACCTATGGCTTACCTGTTATTTGTTTTTCTTGTAAGACAAAAGATGCAAATGTATGAGTTGTTTTTTCAAAACTAAAACTTCAATATTCAAGTTTAATTGCAGGCTTGGCTTTGCAATAAATAAGTGGATTTTGGGTTGAAGTTTGGGAGCTCATCTCTAAGAGGTTCACCATCTCTGTTACAGGGGATAAATTTTGCATTCACAAATTCTAATGTATTCAGAATAGCCTTAGAACAGAAAATAAGTTTGAGAGGACCATTATTGTTATATGATTAATTACAACATGTGTATATATCTAAGTTTAAGGCATAACCATTTTGTCAGCAATTATAGTAGTTGAAATTAAGACAATATTAGATTTTGGAAGTTCTCATGATAATTATTACTATACATCCAAGCTTATGAGTTTCGGCTTGAAAAGTGTTAGATTTGAAACTAAAATTCCTGTGTTTCACATACAGTGGATGCTTGACTTACGAACTTGATTGGTTCCCTAGGGCTGGGTGTAACTCAAGTAGATGGTAAGTCAGTACAGCTGAGATCTGGATGTTTACCTAGGTGCACACTATAGATAACAAGAGGCAGATGAATGTTCCATTAACCTAATTAACCCAAGTTGTTTGTATGTCAGGCCGGTCATAACTTGAGGGTCCACACATATGTCCTTGATTGTAGGCCAGTGACATGTGACTAGACTGAAGTTTTAAGAGCTGTTCCATACCTTGCCATGTTCCTTTTCCCTTAGCTGTGAGACAGTCATATCTCAGGTGTATCTGATTTTTTCATCTCAGATCCTGGAAATAAAGACCACATGGTGCAAGATGGGAATTGATTCTTTTATGAATAAATATATGAAATATAAATTGAGTGAGATACCTTTGTTGCACGCCACAAAGATTGTTGGTTACTTCTGTATAACAACCTATATACTGACTTTTTATTTACACACACACATTTGCAAATGAGCAGGTTTTTATAACACAGGCTGTTACATCAATATTGAGGTCTCAAGTCTTTGAAGGCAGGAACAAATTTTTATTTTTGTGTGTTACATAGCTTCTAGCATATGGTTTGCACATAGCAAATAAATGCTTATCACATAGATAAATGAATACATATTAGAGATGATTGGTTGAGGGAAAGCAACACACCAGAGGCAGTAATAGTAGCTCATCAGTGCAAATCAGATAGGCACCAGCTCACATCTGTGTGAATAAAAAATATCTACATATTTTTTCCTATTTGTAATCTGAGTTTAGGCTGTTCATCTTGAACTCTCTTAGTTTCTGCATTGAAGTTGTCTTATGAGTAGATTTTATACTCATACACTTTGACAAATATCCTGATTCTTTGATATTCAGATTTTAAAAAGCAAGGTGGCCTCGGGGTGTTCATTATAATATGAGAGCTCTTTTGTAATTAGAGTAACTTAAGTTCACCTGAAGTTTTTAATAAATGTGGGGGTGTAATGGAAAAACATAGATCAGCTTGGTTTATGTATACCACCTGTTGGAAGAGGTCAGTTTGGGAATGAAATATAGAATTCAGACAGAATTGTACCAAAAGAGACCATTTCAAATGGAAAAGCTGCTAAAATTTATCGTGACTGGTAGAAATTGAATATCATTTTTATGGTATTCTGAGCACAAATTAGTAATAGCAGGAACATTTATTTTTAGCACTATATCATTCAATGTGCCAAAGATTTCCTTTACATTATCACATATATTTCCCTAAGTAACCCTATAAACTTGACAGTTTCTATCTTCATTTTTCAGATGAGGAAACAGGACAAAAGTGAAATGACTTTTAAGTTTACATTGCTAGAAAATAGATTCAGCTGCCGCCTGCTTTCCAAGTGCAAGATTCCGAGTTCGATCTCTGGTTCCAAAAAAAAAGAAAGAAAATAGATTTAATCATCTAAATGAATATATTGACTTTTGCAATGAGGAGTATTATTTCTTTTTCTTTTTCTTTTTTTTTTTTTTGGTACCAGGGATCGAACTCAGGTCCTTGCGCTTGCGAGGCAGGCGACGGAGCCACTGGACTAAATCCCCGGCCCGAGGATTATTTCTGATAATAGTAAATAGAAACCTTAGTGTCTTTGTTTTTTTTTTTTTCTGCCTCTTAGCAAGATATATATCCTTATTCAAAAAACTTAGCTTTTACTTTATTATTCTATACAGGGAGAGGAATTAATATTTGGAAGGGGTTGAGCTAAGGATAGTTTTCCTAAATTTTCGGTAGCTTTTTTTAGATGACTATACTATATCTTTCACACTCTGAAACAAAAACACATAAGGCATGTATTAAATGAGGTGTAGTGAACATACTTTTTTCTTTTTAGCAATCATTAGGAAAAAATTATTGTATTCTACTGCCTTTAAAAATTATCAAGTATCTGTTATGCCTTCTGAGTTCTTGTGTCTGCCATTTTGTATCCTTTGAGGTACTTTGAACTGAGTTACCACTCCAGCCCTTTTTCTATTTTCTATTTTGAGACAGGGTCTCACTAGGCTGGGCTCAAATTTAAGATCCTGCTGACTCAGCCTCCCGAATGGTTGAAATTACAGGCGTGCACTACTGTGCCTTATCTTGTGTATGCTTTTTAATCTTCTTACATTCTTCTTTGACCATCCTGCTTCCTTTTAGCAGTTTCACCACCCCGTTCATTTTTCATGTGCTTGAAAATCAAGCAACTAAATCTATTAAAATGTATAAAATCATGTAGGCTTAATGAAGCTCTGATGATGGTTGGAGTTTATTGTGATTAAAATCTTGAGCTCTTTTAAGGTTGACAGATTATTACAATTAATACTTGAGTGCTTATAACTTCTTTTTTTAGTTTGCAGAGTTCAACTAAACCTGGAACTTCATTGCACTTGGATTATGCAGTGTCCACAGTCATTATAGCACTTTCATATAAATATTTGTGTATTTTAGCAAATTATTCTAAATAATTTTTGCTATAAGTAATAACAAGAGCAATTCAGAAGTCTTGTTTCAAGTTGTAGTCTTTTATTTTTATTTTACTTTTGTGGGACTGGAGATTGAACTGGGGGGATCTTCACATTAAGCTATATCCTTAGACCTTTTTTTTTTTTTAATTCTTAAGTTCTTTTATCGGTACATTTTAGGTATACAATACATTTACATTTATTATTGGGTGCTTGTACCTGTACATGATGTACCTTGGTTCTTATTTTTTCCCCATTACCTATGCGCCCTTCACCCCCTCCACCCTTCCCTATTTACATAGACGTCATTTCCATTTTTTTTTTCTTTTCTCATAATTTTTCCTTTCCCTTCTTTCCTTTCCCCTACCCCTCCCTTCACCCCTACCTCCTTGGACCTTTTTTCCTATTTCAAATTATCAATTATTCATTTTAATCATTTTAACCCTTATTTACACTTTCAGTTTCTCACACTAGGGAAACTATTCGGTATTTGCACATGTGTGTCCTATTTATTTTCCTTAAGACTGTGGCCTCGATATGCATCCATTTAGCTATAAATGGCTCTAGTTTCTTGTTCTTTATGGCTGAGTAGTACT